AAATTATCACAGCTAACAAAGTGGAGTCCAATTATTATCTTAGCATTGCCACTATTGCTAAGAAAGTATTGTTCTGTTCCTTTAGAAAGTAAATGTGTGCTTCCATGTAATTTAAGCGCCCAGAAGAACAGAGTATTTAAAGGCATGTTGGTTGCTCAGTCCAGAGAACACCATTGCAGAAACGTGTGTTTTGTTCATTCTAAGCAATCCCATTGTAGGAAGAGAAACAGAGAACCTTGTAGAATTCCTAAAACGAAATTAGTGCAATTGTATTATCATAGAAAGAAAAACATTTAAAAATTCTTTTAAAACAAAAGGTTCCAATGTCTTCCGAACTGCATTACTTCTTCAAAAAAAGTAAGGTCACATTTTGGATTACCAGATATTCTGGTGAAAGTTGTTACTGCCAATACTTTTACAAGACAACTACACGAACATTTAATTCCAACAAAAGAGATATTAGAAATAAAAGTATTGTAGTGAGAAAACAGTTTGTACTTCCGTTTCTTTCTGGTGGTATGAATCCTACAATTAGCCAGTCGAATCAGATTGATACTGCAGAGAGTTAGACTGTTACAGAAGGGTTTACAGCCATTTGATGTTGAAGGCTGTGGAGATTGCTTTTTCCGATCAGTATCTCATCAGTATTATGGTTCTCCTGACTTTCACATTGAAATAAGGCAAGCAGGTGTTAAATATCTTCAAGAACATCCTGAGTTGTTTATGGAAAGTGTATCAGAGCATTCATGGCAAATGTATTTGCAAAGAATGACCACTCCTGGGACATGGTGTGATAATATTATTATTCAGGCTGTAGCCAATCAACTTCATTGTGTCATTCATATAATTGAGTCAAGGCTCTCATGCCCAGAAGGATCAACAGTTACTCCATCTGGTGACCGGGAAATAACAAAAGTATTATTTGTTGGGTACATAGAGGATTTACATTATGTTTCTACAGTACCACACGGTAGAAATACAAATGCTCTTAGATATCTAAAATTAAAATTATCTGAAACAGAACTTCAGCACAAAGAGAGACTAGAGGCAAAACGACACAGATATAAAGAAAATAAAAAAACTCTTGGAAAAAAGAAAGTATGCATTAGACCATCACTTCCTAATGTAACAGTTTCAAAAGAACAATATTTATCAAACTGCTATACAGAAAATTTAGGTCCTTTACATGAGCAACCATGGGCAAAGGAGAACATATCAAAATTTCATAATTCAAACAATTATACTATTTACCAATGCAAAACTTGTTTTGAAGTGTGGCCATTAAAGTCCACTCCTAAATGCATAAATAATTATCAGTGCACAAAATGCTCCAGAGAAAAGGATATTGTAGAGAAATCTTCAACTGAAAACCTTATGGTGCCTTCAGCTGTACCAAAAGAACTAAGTGGTTTAACAGAAGTGGAAGAAATGCTAATAGCTCATCCTCTTCCCATTATTCATATTTATATCAAACTAGGAGGACAAAGAGGCTTCTCAGGGCATTGTATAAATATACCACAAAGTATTAGGGAACTGGCACATTCTCTCCCAAGATATCCTAAAGATTTACCTGTTATTGTTGTCAGGAAGAAGGGGAAAGGAAATGATTTTAAAGATCTTGTTGTAAGAAGACAAGTCGTATCAGATGCGATACATTGGCTTTCAAGACACAATCCACTTTATTCAGATATTGAAATAAATTATCAAGCACTTGTATCTTTACCAGAGAATGAAGTACCCCAACAACTTCTTTCCATACAAACAGAAGAGAAAGTTATTGATGATACCCTTAACTGTGTTCCAGATCGTGGCCCTGTTTATGATGAAGACAACAATGTTTATAATACAAATGTCGATACTTCAAGCTTTCTTCCAATAAATAATAGCCAACAACAGGAAAAACATTCAATAAATCAGCAAGTTTTACAAGCTCATATTGACTGGCCAAGTTCAAGCAACAATCCTTTAGATGAATTTACCACCGCATTTTTTGGCTACAATGGCATTCCCAACATAATTTCCAGATAGTAAAGGGGATCCAACAAACCCGTCCCGGTTAAAAAATGTTACTCTTAAGGAAAAGATCAAACACCTTATTAAATTTGGAGAGAAAAAAGATAATAAATGGTGTTATCGTTTTGCAAAGCATCCAAGATTTTCTTACTGGGCTTTAAATATGATTCAACGTAAACAAATTCTTCAACAAACTGGAATATTTTTTAAGCAAAATCCAGAAGAAAAACATTTAACATTGCAAGAGTTAAGAGATATGATTACAAATAATCAAAGCAATCCTTTGATGACAAAATTGTCACGGTACATCACCAATATAACTGGTTCAGATGCCTATTGGTTTAAGGCAAAAGAAGATTTAAAAGCAATCATCCAACATGTGGGTCCTCCAACTTTCTTTTTCACATTTTCCTCAGCAGATATGCACTAGCCACAATTACACGACCTTTTTCAAAATACCTGTAATACAAATGGCAATGAGAATTCT